AAGTGCTGGAGTCTGCCTTTTAGAGCTCACTGAAGAAGGCAGTGGGAACCTTTCCAACGACTCTGTGGCCTTGCTGAAAATTGCTGAGGTTTGGTCTGTGCTCCTTTAAGGCTGCAGTGAGAGTATGAGTGGTGGGACACAAGCTAAACTGAAACTGCTGCTGAAGGAAGGGGTAAGGGGAAGAGACACAACACCAAATTATTCTCAAAGTTGAGAAAATAATACTTTTTTAAAACAAAACAAAACAAAACCCAAACACCTTCCAAGCATTTTTTTTTTCAACTTTAAAGAGCAGCTGCAGCTGGAGTGGTGCCCAAACTGTGCAGACTCACTCAGCAGACACAGGCTGAATATCACAATAACTTCGGGTATTGATGGTTTTAAGACCTGAGGAGCTGGAAGATAGTCAGTGTTGCCTTTTCCAGCCCCTTAACCCTCAAGTTGCTGCAGAGGCCAAGGAATACCTACTGCCAAAAGAGGCACAGGTTTAATCCTTGCACAGCCAGCTCAGCCCTTCATCTTGCACAGACAGATAACTTGAAAATCCTACAATTCATTGAGCATAGGCTGTCGTGACACAGCATTAAAAACAGACTGGAATGGCTTTACAGCATTTTTCTAAGTGTGTCAATTTGCCATAGCACTCCCTGTCTCTCCATTCTTCTGTAACATGCTGGATGAGATGGCTGCCATTACTGCCATGTGGCAAATTTCTGTGACCTATTCCTATTCAAAAGAATTAAAACAGCTGCGTGAACATAAAATGACAGATAATCACAAATGCCTGCAATTTTCAGATAAAAGCAACACACAGAATAACAGAACATTTTTAAATTATATGATTTTGATTTAAAAATGCAGCTTCTTTTCCCTGACCCTGCTACTCAGATGGACAAACTTTACTCAAAGGCAATCTGTTTATTGTGGGTACATATCTGACCATGCTTTTATTTAATGAATACTTTTCTTGAGTATCATGATTTCACATCTCCCATATTAAAAGAGGGGTTGCCTGGTACCACTCTCACCCTGGTGTGAGGGAGAATCCTCAAAAATGACCGTGCAGGAGGAGCAGCACGACTGCAAGACTGCAGCTAGCACAACCTTCAGCAGCAGATGGATTTGAGGGGCATGTTAATTAAATCAGTCCAAGCAAGGATAGAATGACACGATGCTGTGCTGTCACCCAAAGCCTCTTACACCCTAGTGAACCAGGTATCACTAGCACAAGTATTGCTTCTGTGGGTTTCAGTGAAGAGTTCGATATATGTTTTCCTACTGCAGTCAGAAAAACACAAATAGCATTTCCTGTACTACTTCCTCTGCTTGGGAGATGGTGTGGAAACTTCATCTGCTTTTTCTGGATATGTAGGGAGAGAAACAAGGAGGTGAATATCTAGAGAGCTGGCAGAAGGGCAGTAAGAGGAAATAAAAGCAAGCCTATAGAAAAGAAAGCAAGAGTAGACTGAATGCCCCAAACTTGCGCAGACAGTGGTCAGTAAACTGAATCGGGTTCTGTGAGAGAGGGGGAGTTAAAACAGCTTTGTGTGGTAAGCACATGCAATGTAAGTCCCCAAAAGAAGAAAATCTTCTATGGGTGGCTTTATTTCCTGATTCCAAGGGAACCAGCAGAGCTCAGCAGGATAAGGCAGCAAGGAAGCAAAGAGATTAGTAGAAACTGAACAAAGCAAAAGGACAGGGTGTGAGGCAGTGGGAGAGAAAGATACAAATGAGGAAAGGAATATTATTTTGTAGAGCAATACAGTACTTCGCTGGGTCACAGCCAGTCTGAATGTACCTTAAACTCCTATTTCCCATTCTCTCCCAGCTGGAGAGATAATTGCCTGACTCTAGAAATATATTAATCATTTTTATGTCTGTGATCTCCAATGCCAGTACAAGAAGTGCTGTTAGACAAAGCCATGTCTCACCATAGGCTGCAAGTACAGAACAGGACCCCCTTCCCCTCCTGTATCTGAGATCAGTGTCTAAGAAAAGCACAGGAAACATCAGGAATTCCCAAGGATCAGTGGGGTAAGATCTTCCAGTGTTTCAGGCATCTATATTGTATTCCTTCCCCAAGACTTTCATAGGCAGCCTGATTTATTAGCCTTAGTCAGCATTATGTCTTGTACACCTGCCAGAAAAGCACAGTAGGATGAAACATCTGGTAAATTTGCTCAAATTCTATTATGAAATATCTTCAATTCAAGTTTCAGTGAAAAGTAAACAAGTCATTGTCTTTAAAAAGTGCTTTGCTTTGCTGTCAGAAAACCCTGGCAATCAGCAGTAGGCATTAGTCCTCTTTTCAGGGCTGTCAAGGCAGAATAGCTCTCTTGTGAACCACTCTGGACCAGCAGAAGACCATGTGTATCACTGCTAGTTCAGTGACATTTGACTTGTTTGCCAGTGCTGCTGTGGCGCTGCCATGCAGTGACATTTGCTTACACTTTAGGAGCACCTGGGGATGCACAGAGCACATGGAACACAGCAGGCTTGTCCTCCCTGCAAGGCAGGATGCTGAGGAGCCTCCCAGCCCAGCCAGCTCTGAACTGACTCCAGATCTGGGGCAGTTTGACAATGGGCAGGTTCAAGCCTCCCCAGAGCCAGCTTGGGAGTGTCTGACAGCACAGCACGGTGCCTTGCAGATGTCACCAAGTGCAGGCTGTGGTGATAAACAGGTACAGCTCTCGAGCTCCAGGCAAGTGAAGGAGGTACTTTACAAATGCTTCTCTATTCCTCCATGCTGGCTCCACGTGTACACAAATCCACTGGTCCCACATTATTTTTCCATATAGGGCAGAGGCCAGAGGCCATTTTTTCAGTGTCTAAATTGGAACAACACCTACAGAGAACCCGCTCTTCGTTTCTGCAGGTGAGTTCCAGCCCTCCTCAGTCACTTGGGCTGTTTGTGGAGAGAGGTGAATGTCCCCCACTAAAGGACTTTTCAGTGGTGGTTTAATTCCTAAAGAGACTCCTTCCATTCTTATGGTCAGCAACTTTAATAAGTGGCTGTGCTGCAGGAAATAAATGTATTGGTGGATCAAACTACAGCACTTGACTGTATTGATCCACAGGGGATATTTTTTAATTGGTGAGGAGCCCTTACAGAGCCATCTGACTTTCCTACATACCTATGGAGCATGGTATATTTGAGACAGATTTGGCTACAAAAGACCAAATCAAAAAGACAGTGAACACTTCAGAGATCATTACAGAAAACAGAACTGCATTAAGAACTAGTCCATCTGTATAGGAGCAGATACCTACGCTCATGGCAGGTTCTGCACTGAACGATGGTATAGCAGAGAATATGCTTATCTGTGCAATCCACACTACACACTGTCTGCAGTCAACACATTGCTAGTGCGCTGGCATGAGCCATTTGAAACTGATTTTCCATTTACGCCAATTCTCATGTTACACCATGCCAGGGTACTGGAGCTTGGACACTGAACTGAATGAGGCAAATCCCTGCCACCCTCTTTGGCTCAGGGTAACTTCAGGACAACACAAAGCACTTGGAGTAAAACAAGATAAGACATACAGTGAAAAAACAAACCAATTAGAAGTGCCGTCAGAGCTGGAATTTCTCTGGGAATGTGTGATACAAGTGGAGAAGGTTTAAAAGTGCTGCAGACAGTAATGTGGCTGCCAAAAAGAAAGCAGCTGTCAGAGCAGGGAACTTTTTTGGGTCAGGGCTAGTCATAAAGAAGATGACATTTTTCGCAGCTCTCATTTAATCTGGGCAAAGAAGGCTGAGTGGGGAGAGGTGACAGAGACAGGAGCAGAGCTGCAACCGTGGAAGATTAAAACATTTCAGAGTTGTGTTTAGAAACAGTCTGCAAAAGAGGCTTCTGGCAACAGAGAGAAATTTTGGACCAATCCAATAACGGCACCAGTGCTTCTGAGAAATTCTCTTGGACTTGCCAAGAGGAAGTCAGTCAGTCCAGACCAGAACTGATGGGGAGAGGACAGTCCTCTTCTTTTGCAGGCAGGAAAGAGAATGTAAACTACCATGAAGAACAAGACTGAAAGTGGAAAGGTGCAAGGAACCTATAGCTGGAGCTGAGTGAAAAAAAAACACATGAAGCTACAGACAACACCCAACATTTGGAGAAGAGGCACAAGAATGTGAAGGAGTTCATTTGAATGGGATCACAGCATGGATATCACAGGAGTGCCAGAAACAGTGACTTCAGCAATGAAAGAACCACCACAGATACAAAGCAAATGGGTAAAAAACCCTCCCATTTACCAAGCAGGACCCTTCACTAATCCCCACTGTGGGAGGATGTGAATTGTATGCTTGAATAAATAATGAACTGGGAAAGAAAGAAAGAATATGTGATAAATAGTACCATGGAGAAAAGTACAGATCCCAGGGTAAAACACATGCCAAGGTCCTGGTCTCAACAGAGTGAACCAAATGTGGACAGAGGGGAGCAGAGCAGCTGGGGATGCAGAGTGGGGCAGGCTAACTGCTGGGCTGGCAGAGCTCTGCCGGAAACCGGGGACAAAAGTGGGGAGGAGGAGGAAGGATGAGACAGATAACAAAGCTACTGCAGACTGTCTCCATGGGGAAGAGCCAGGACTGGAGGAACCTTGGTCAGCCAGTACACTAAATAGATGGGATAGCCAGTACACTAAATAGTGAAGTGTAACTAAAGTCACCACAATGATAACATAAGGTAGGATTAAAATACTGTCTATTTCACGTTCTGGTGAATTGTGTTTTGAATGAAGTTTTTCTCCCTACCACAAAAAAAAATATTATTTTTCTATAAGAAAGTAATGTAGCATCTGCTGCATCTGCCATCACACCACACTCAAATAACGTGTCCTGATCATCATGTTTGGAGGAGGCAGACAGCAGCTCCCTGCAAATCTGCAACATGGATAGGGAGCACTTTCAAAATGTTAGAATTACACAAAGGGTTATTGCCTTGCTCAAGACAGCATAATTCCACTCTGCCAAGCAGTGCTAAGAGAGCAGATCAGGCCTGTCACCTACATGCCCATTCTGATATGGCAAGGGACAGCTGCAATCACACTGCCCCGGGCACGCTGCAGGAGCCTCCTTCTCCCTGTACCTCTTCCTCACCTTTCCTGCCCTGCTAGGAAGAAAAGGCCATGAAGTAAACTACAAGAAAGTACAAGCTGTAAGAAGTCTTCCTGCAGGACTGCCAGAATTCACCCTGATCCAATGGATCAGCAGAAATCCAACTTATTCCAGGCTCAGAGACTCTGGGAAAGAGCAGCAGGGGTAAGGATATGGACACAGAATTGCTGGTGAATAACTGTGAGAGGTTTGTGAACAGTGATGTGGAACAGCATTTTTTCTGTGTGACCCATCAATGTGGGAGCCACTTTCACACTCCAGTTGTCAGACTGGGATCTTGCAAGCCCTTTTTTTGTTGCTTTCTCTAGCTGCTATCTCAACTGAACATTATTTTCATTACTTTGCCTATATTTACAGTTTATTCAAATCAATAAAGATAATAATGAATAATCAAGAAAATACAGCAGAGAAAAGAAGAGAAAGCTGGTTTGTGCTCTGAGGGGGCTCTGATCATCATTGGCAAAGTGTTTAGGAGCCCAGTCCCAGCTATCAGGAAGCAACCCCTCAGTCACCAGCCATCCCTCTCCACCCTCCATTCCCTTTGCCATCCTCAGCTTGGGCCAGCCTCTGGTGTTGGGCTCTGAGGGTAGTGACAAGGTAAGTGGGAGGCAGGGTAGAGAATGGAAGGGATGGACAAGTCCATATTTTATCTTGTCTGTTCCTTGTAAAGCTGCCATTGCCTTGCTCTTCATCATTTTCCCCGTCTTCTCCATGGCTTAGAAAGAGCAAGATCTGACCAACACAGAAAAAAATTATAGTGCTTTAGGGATATAATCAATATAAATTAATTAATTTCTTTCCCCCAGGGAAGCACAGGCTCTGTACTTCCTTCTGTCTTTTCTTGCAGCCCCCAGGCCTTTTGTCCTCTGGCAAAAACTCCCCATTGAAGTGCATGGCATTTTCTGGGCACTATATTTTCAGCATATTCTTTTCAGCAGTGTAATTTTTTTGATAGTCACTTGAATAATCAGCAGTCAGTGTTAGAATACAGCATTGTACACTGACACCCCTAAGCCCCAGGAAGCACCAGAAGATGAAGAGGGAAGCCTGCAGCTCTTCCTGGCCTGATTTTCTTTCCTTGAGAACTGGCTCTTTCTTTCCTGCCTACAACTACCCCACACAGTTAAGGCCAGCCCTAGTTATCTATATCCAGCTCTTGTTCCCATCCCCAATATCATACAACTGGACCATGGGGGCTGCTTAGGCCAGTAAGGGAGTAACATGAGCTTCTGAAATTGTCCCAAAATGAGTTGTTTGTACAACAGCACTCTGTATTCCAAACCTAAACCTCTTTTTAGATGTGGCAGTACTTAAAAAGGCTAGTAGAGTTTTTTCTTTTGTAAGTCTATGTTGATTTTTTAAATTAATCCACAGAGCTAGTGAAGAATCTGGCTGCTTTAGGTCCTACCCTTTCAATACCAGGATGCATTTTGTAAATAATTTAACATGACAGAAGAAATTAAGGAAGGAAACACAGAGTGAAGTCTGAAGGAAGGAAAGACTGTTCTTTTATCACAGCTGAAACAATTTACTTTTGTTATATGTACTTATATTATTTCTTAAGTACTCAGCTCTTTTAATGTTAATTCAAGCTTGCTGTTTCTTGCTGACAGCCAGCCATATGTGACCTCCTGTTCTTTATAAACATTACACACCGTGCAAGATGATTATGTGGTTGCAGACAATGGGATTCTTCCTCTACTGCAAGACTAAATTCTATCAGCCTGAACCATTGGCTTTCTGCCTTGTCTCCTCTCCGGCTCTGAATTCGCAGCATCAGAGGCTGAGATGTAAAAGATTTTTCAGCGAGGAGTGCATCTCACTGGAGGCTTCTTCTGCTTTCCTGTAGCTTCATTCCTGTCCTCTTCCAAGAATACAGCGGTTTAACCAAAAGTTAAATGGAAAACCAGGAGAGGGGATAGTCCCACCTGAGACCATGTAATGACTGTCAGAGGGTTTGTGGAAGCACCATCATCCTCCTTTAATCTTCCCTATCTGGTAAGCAGGAGAACTTTCAAAGTCCTCAATACCTGCTCAATTACCTGCATTGTTGGAAAATCTGCTTGTGCCACTGTAGCAGGGTTGAAGAGAATAGAGTCACAAAAAGCAGCTCTATTGGCATTTTTAACTCAAGAATTTCTGGTTTTGTGACAGAGCTCTGCAAACACATACCGAGGCCTGATCAGGAGAGACATAAAAACTTCAGGCAAGACACTGCACACATACCAAGCACAAGCTGACCCAGAAATCACAGGGATGGGTTAAGGCTGAAACAGAGTGAAACAAGGCCAAGTGGAAGCTCTGTCTTGCCAGAGTCAATAGGGGCACTCAAGCAGAGCATCTCAGGAAAGAGAGGGAGAAGAAGAACAAGCAGGCTTTTTTGGGGGGGAAAAAAATCTACAAGCAAACTGTGAGTTTTCCATGAAGGAATCTAGGAGAGTAACCCAGATACTTATATTGCTCCTGTTTCATAGGGAAGCCAACCTCTCGGAACATTTACCCCTAAAAGCAAGTGCTGGAGTTTAGCTTTAAACATGATCACAGTTTCACTGAGGACAAGCATCACCAAGGGTCTACTGCTTGCTGAAACCCTGCCAGCCCTTCTGAAGTTGTTCCTTTTAGATACACGATGCAATCCAAGCCTTCACTATTTCCTTTCTCATAGGTTTTTTTCCTGGCCTTGGAAAAGCCAAAAATGGACTAAAGCATTGTGTGATTCAGCAGATTTAGAAGAACAAAGGCCATCCAGTGAAGTAAAATACAGGAAAAACAGACACAGAAAGAAAAATGAATGCATGTGTAGCTAAAAGATATGAAAGGTGTATGAGACAAGGGATGTGATATCAATAAGTGAGCAAGTGCTGGAAAAAAACTAAAAGAATACAATCTGACTAGGAAAGGCTGAAAGGAAGAGTAGAAAATATTTTCAAGGAATAAAGACAAATAAGAATTTTTCAAGTATATAAGGAGCAAAATGTCAGCAGGACTCTAAGAGAGTGCTAGGGTTATTTAGTAAGAGATGAAAAAGATTGCAGAAAAATGAAATCTTTACCAAGTGTTCATAAGAAAGGATGTAAGACTGAAGTAGGAGAGAGAATTACTTTTTCCATGAGAGAGGAAAAATGCTCAAAGAACTCCAGGTCACAAATAGAAGGAATAAATAAATTACAGCTCTGCATAGAACAGACAGTCCCCCTGCCAATCACAGATGAGGCAAGAAGGTCTCCTAAGAGTGAATTTTAAATATCTTCTGTGAGAGCCAAGAACAGAAGAAAAATGGATTCCTATTATATTCATCCATTGCACTCATTTGTCCAACATGAAACAGAAATCTATACAACCTTCCAATCTTAGCTACTTTGAGAGCACAGATCACCCTCAAGAAACTATAGCTATGCTATTTTAGTGCCTCTGCTGCTACAAGGGTCAGATAGGGAAAAAACTGGTTTTGTGTGTGTGCACAACAGCTCACATCTGGTCCTACTTCATACCCCGAAGCTGCTGGGGGAACATCAACCCTCTGAATCCCTCCTCCATGTTCATAACTCAGGAAGGGATTTCTGGATGTTGCAAGGTGGACCAAGCTTACCTATGAGTCCAGTCAATGGCTTGCACTGGGAGCATTCACCAGACGAATAATGAACAGGGTTAAGCTGCATACAGAAAACCACAAGTACAAAGTGAAAACAGAGCAGCACCTTTGAGATGGGAAAGGCTTCAGGAAAAAAGTTGCTGGGACTTCATAGTCCAACTCTCTCCATTGTTCTGATTCCTTTAAAGAAAAAAAAAGTTTTTTTGCTTGGGGGTTTTAATTTATTTTTTTTTAATTTATTTAAGGACATGATATTGACAAGGCACATAAGCACATGGCAAGAGAAGGACCTCCTTATGTGGCCTCTTCTTGAGTGTTACAAAGTGCCATGGCTGATGTGCTTTGAACAAACCTTATCTGGATGTGTGTCCCAAAGGATAAACACCATTGTGCACTCTTTGAGCTGCCTAGCCCTGAACTTGTATTCTATTTCATATTTTATATTTAGCTTTTGAAAACTAAGTGCATAGGCATAGGGTTGCTGTATTACAGCATCTTAGGGAACACTAAAGAAGTAATAAATATTGTCAGATGCTGATCCTTTCTCCTTAAAGTGTTTTTGCTGAAACTTGGCCTTTCTCTCTGCCATATCTCTATGCTTTCTGTTAGAACACAAGGTGATCTTTCCATGCTTAATTATCTGAACAAAATGCACAGAACAATAATGCCAAAAATGCCTCTTGTGCATTCTACTACATTTGCAGATCTTTGAAATAATCTAACCTAATCTCTTCATTTTCAGGTTAGGGTGAATGCAGTGTGAAATAACCAAATGAGTAGACAAGAGAAGGGAGGATGGACAAACACATGCTGACAAATACAGGCCAAGTGATAGAGTGTGTGCATGCACAGGAAACTGCTCCCCTGCAGAGTTTGATTCTGTTCTGAAACAGACACTTAATAGTGCTTTGCCTTTATATAGAAATGTTCATGCATCTCAAGGCATCTTTCAAACAGTCACATGCAGCACAGTGTGGCAATCAGAAACTACCAAGAATAATCATTTTACAGAAGAGTGAATTGATTTACATGGTCTGGATTATCCTTCATCACAAAAAAAAAAATCAGTGAAGAAGCTGGGAGTACAACATAGAAATCACTGCTCATGAGACACTAATTATCATCTTTGCTCTTCAGCCTTGCAGACTGACAACACTGCACAGTGTGAATCCTCCACTGTGTGCTTGGCAAGGATGTGCTTCCTTCACAGGAGTACACCCCTACCTGAACATTGCTTGGAGCCCATATTGATGTATTTTTGCAAGCAGGAACTGAAGCCCTACACACTCATCTTGCTACCTGTAATTTGTGGCACATTCAGCTGACCTCTGGTACTTGAACGTCTCACCTACTGTTCATGTGATGAGGCTATTTCACATATGCTGTGGCAGTATAGCTGTGTTGGCACAAGCAAAAATGGGGCTCCAAATCCATTCTTGCAGGAAGATGTGAAAATGCAGGTACCCTGAAGTCCAGTTGAGCACAACCATGCCACACTGGAATAGGAGAAACAGGAGCTATTACCATGTCTTATGCATGGACTACTTCCAGAGCTCCCCCAAGATCAGGTTCTGAGGGAGGTGTGTGCCTTGGGGCTCTCAGCTAGATGAAGTGTTAGGTAACAGCTCAACATATCACGCAGAACTCCAGACAGAGGCCTTAGAAAACACTTCAGCATGCTGGAAGCACAGTAAAGTTCAGGCATACTTTGGAGGAGCTAAAGTGTGACACAAAAATGTGAAAACTTATTTCTATATGAAGACCCACTTAAGTAGTTCAGCCAATTAGACTACTTGATTGGCTGACATTCCAAACACTTCCACTGTGCACACAGGGTGCCTCATGCATGAATGAACTGAACATGGCATTTGAAGGCCTTGCTTTTTGTCAGTGCTTGTGTGTTTCTTTGTGGAATAAGCAAGATCGTATTAATTTCCCTAACATTTTTCTATAAATGCTCAGGGCATCTAATAAATTAAATTACTGTTTATTTAGTTACTGCTTGGTTATTTAAGAACATAAACATATGCAGTGACCTGAACTTGAATTACAGAATTCCTCATTTGCAGTTCAGCTATCAAGATATAATAGCTATCAAGATAGAACAGCTTCTCTTCACTGTCCAAGTGGACACAGAAGCAATTGAGATAATTCAAATGGAGACACCTCCAGGGTGTCACATGCTTTTAGAGAGAACTGAGAAATAAGAGGAACCTTTAATCCAGGAGAAAAATGTCCCTTAGGCAAAAAATTCACTAGGCACTAGAGACTTGTGGGATAGTCCCTTTCCTCCACAAATGACGCAGTTCAGTCTTCAGCTCCTCACTGTACAAGCAGCCCTAGAAGATTTTGCAAACCTGCTATTTCCTGCATATTAGAATTAAGATGCTGTTAATTATACAAATAATTTCTCTCGTCTTTCACTAGAATACTAAGCATTTATTCAAAATCCTTCACTAAACTCACTCGTGACACAGTCAGAGGTTGGCACTCACCATCTCTCTTTCCTGGATGACAAGAGGCATGGAAAGGACAGACCTAGATTAGGAATTACTCCTCGAGTTTTCACACTGAATTCGAAATAAGGAAAGCTGTCTTCTTGCTTTTAAGGCAAGTGAAGGTGTCTGGATTCACACAAACCTTTGCCATCTCACAGCGGGAAGTAATTTAGCCTGAGGTACCCAAATTTCCAGGAGAATCCTTTGGTACATTTCTGCACATACAGGTGTACACAGATCTCTATTTCTGCTCCACAGTGTCTGGGTAAGAACCTGACACAATTGAAACACCAGTTCACAGCGGTTTGATCTAGTACACGTCACCCTACCACAGCACTAGTTCTGTGAACTTCTGAGTAATATCCCAGCAAATGACTTAGCAACCCATATGAACTCTTGCATTCTTCTCTGATTGGAATGACAGTCTTGAAACAATTAACTATTTCAGGAGAACACAATCAAACTCATTGATATATTTACAGGTCCTAAAGGTGATGATAAATCTCTTTGATCAACCAATTTCAGATTATCTACAGAGGCTTAAGAATATTAGTCTGCTTCACCTTTAAGCTGCTTCATCTCAAAGCTGATTTTAAAAAATGGCTTCAGTGCCACTACAATCTCAGAGTTGGAACAAAGTTGAACTCTACTCTGCAATAAATCTGGAATAATACAGCATTTTGGGAGGACTGGCAAGGAGAAACATCCAGTTAGTGGGGCCACGATTTAAGTGGTCCTTATTTGGGTCTTGTGCTCTTTGAAGGGTCAGAATTGCAGAGGACCTCCAGAAACCTCCTCCTGCCCTCCTGCACGGTGAGACCAGTACACCTCTGACTCTCTAGACAGATTTGCCCAATCTGTTCATCAGTGCTCTAAGCTAGCCAAGGACTTGGTCCTTGACTTTATCTCAATCCCCAAGATAAGTGAGAAATCAGGCAGATTTTCTGTATATGTCAGAGAAATTAAAAATGCAATGGATTTTCATATCAGACTGCTGAGGACTAATTACAACAGTGTTTTCCAGCAAGCCAGTGATTGTAGGCTAATTTTCTGTTATGAAACAGAAACCAGGGTTAATGAGGCTAATTGTGTCTACCAGTGTTTCAAACAAAAAGGAAGCCAACTCAATTTTGAAGCGAGTTCTTTGTCAGGAACAAATTGAGGAAAATTGCTACAGTTGTACTAGCATTTCCTAAAATTGCTTAGTACCATGCTTGGGAAACCAACACTATAGAACACAAGCTAGTGGCACAGAAAATGAAGCTTATTAGACAGTCAGTATATTGAGTTTCAAATGCATGGCTGTGTGACATACCGTGATGGTTGAACTGCTGAAAGCAATGCAACAGGGAGTCAATAACAGTGTGTGTGACCCTCATTCCAGCTCCACTGAGGTACTACAGAGAGAAATCAAGGTATGTAGTAATATATGTCAGAAAAACAAAATCTTCACGTTCTATGACTCATCTGTGACCAAGTAATTAATTACACAAGCTGGACTGGTAAAAAATGAAGACATTGCCCTGCAAAGCAAAATTCACCAGCAGAAGTCCTTTAAAAAAATAATCAGTTTAGCCTCTCTTGCTATGAGCTGATAATTGTATTAACTACTCAGAAGAACTGACTGACTTCAGTGACAAAAGACATAAACAACATATACAGCACAGTACAAGCAGGTGCTGCTGGGGAAACCCCATCAAATGCACCTCAGCATTAGTGCCCCTGCTATTCCCTTCCCAGTCTCTGTTGTATCCCCAGCCAAGCTAACCAGCGATGCTTTGAGTTTGTGATGTAACCAGCTGGAATTACAATGCAGCCACAATCTTTTGCACTCCAGACTGGTGCCCAAATCAAGCCAGTGTGTGCTAGAAAGAATATGAAGGCTTTCAGCGACAAAACACGCAGGCACAATGCCTGCAATTTGACCTCACTGCAAAATTCAGGCTGTCTTGCTCCTCTGTGTGCTTAAGGCAGAAGCATCCTGGGATTTACAGGAAAGCCTTACTCTGCAGCAGGGGAGCTTATGTGGGGGAGATCTAAAGAAAATCCACATCTATACATATGGCTGTGCAAAGAGGATGGATCCTTAGGATGACAATGCATAATAAAAAATTACAGCATGCCAGACAGCAAGGACAAAAAACAGGAAAACAGGCTAGTGGAAGAGGTCCTGTGGGGAAAAATGTGGCGCTAAGGAAGAAAAAGAATTAATGTTACAATACATCAAGATAAGCGAGAATAAAAAACAGATGGAAGAATGGGAGAATCTTAAAGATTAAGCACAAATAAGGAGACAGCAGTTAAAAAAAGGAAACAAAAATGGGCATAACATTAAGGTCAGTAAAGGTCACCAGATCCTTGACCTACATTTCCTATCTGAAAATCAGTTCTGGGGAAAGGTGGCAAGAGGAAGCAAAGAAAGTCTCAAGACAAGAGTATGAAGCACCTGGCTGAGATCTCGACTTTTATAGTGCAAGGCCCATTTGATGTCATTCTGTTTAAAGTTACAGCCGGGGCTACCCAGCTCCAGTGGCTTCCTGATCTGGGGCCTTTTGCAGTCTGTAAGGTGTTCCCTGGAACTGAAGCTTCTCTTTAGAAAAATGATGTCTGCAGCCCTTCTTGTTTGCCAAGATATAGCCTTCACTATGTAAATCAGTGCTGTGCTGTCTTGTTGAATCTGCATCCCGAGGTATGAACATCTCCCATTCATCTTAGTGGGATATTAACCTCAAAGCTTCATTGTAGCTCTCCAAATGTTAATACAATATTAAACAAGTTGTTTAATATACAAATGCTGGGTTTAAGTCATTCACATTTGTACAGCATTTGTGTAGGAGAACTGGATTTTACTTTGATTTTGCATCTGAAAACCAGAACAAAACAAATACCTAAATTCCCAATCATTGGTCATGCTGCAATTCAGCTTTATTTTGGTTTAGACATGCAGGGAGGAGCTTAGGCTGAATGACTGCTGGTTTTCCTATTTATCATCTCCAAGTGATGAGTGATTCTTCTGTTTGCTTCCAGGACTTCAATTCCTTCTCCTAAAGCTGGTGTTCATACCACTTGGGTTTACAAACCTTACAATTCACTTTTCTGCCCCAGCTTCTACACTCTTTATTCATGTTTTTGGCTCTTCAGAAGACTTCAGCAAGGACGTGGAAAGATGAGCTCAGGGGTGATGAAGCACCATGGGACCATCAGGAGGTACCAGTTGCCCTTTTCTCACTGTGCAGCTGCACGGGCAGACAGATCCAGCACTGGAGCAAGGCAAATGCTCCGTCTTGAAGGGCCCACAAGGGGTGAAAAACAGGTTTCTAGAAATGGCAAGCAGCTACCAATGCTGTGTATTCAGGTGTCAAACGGAATCACTTCAAATTTTGGAAATTGCCAATATCCACCCTGAAAAACCTTCAAAAGCTTTGCAGTTAAGCAGTCAACACCTCTGGTCTCCAAGTTTCCCATTAGCTCTAGGAAACTGTAGGTAAGAGCCTTAACCAAAAACCACTATCAAGCCCCCACACTTTAGCCTTGAATAAAGACTTCAGTACTGGGCTTACTACCAGAAGTGAATGCACATCCATCAAAAAATAGATCAAAAGACAAATGAAACTGCCTGCTCAGATAAAGCCCTTTTCAAAAAGTTACAAGGGGGAGGGGAGGGCCATGTGAGAGGATGTAAAGAAATGTCTGTTGAAAGATAAAATAAGCAAGATACTGTGATGAAGAAAGTGAACAATGAAACAGAATCCAGTACAGAGAGATCAAGTTAAAGAAAACCACATTACTATTTACAGTAAAGATCACTCATCTAACATGTATAATTAGAAATTCACACACTAAGATAAAAGTGACCAGTGAATGCTGTTGTAATTAAAAATAATACAGCATTGTATATATCTTAAAAAAAACCTAACACTCTCCAAAAATAGGAATAATGGGTCTCATTAATAGAGTCTTCACCCGAACTAAACAAGTTCCCTTTATTCACATCGCAATTTTTCCTAGCCTGCCAAAAGAAACCCTCACGAGAAGTCGTCCCAGTGCAGCCCCCCCGCCCCACACATCTGTGCCCCGATGAAGTTCAGTTGCAGACAGGACAATGATACCCAAAGAAATACATTCACATTTCAAAGACTTCCATTTTCACACGAGTTTGTGTTGCTTGGGCTATATCTGAAAGTACAGCACAGCACTTGGATTTTTCTCCTGGTGCCAAACAATGGCTCGCAACACTTCAGCACTTCCCTCAGTGCACACACATATCTTTGGCTGAAACGCAAATGTTCAGTGAATATATGGGACAGCACACTACAGTGGAAAATCCTGAAGGGCAAGGAGTACTGAGATAAGGTAATAATTTATCAGGACAATTTGGAAGGTTTAAAATATCTGCTTAGCAAAGTGTCTGTTTTTCTTTAAAAAAGAAAATGAAACAAAAATTAAACCCAACCAACCAAAACCACAAACAAAAACCCAAAAGAAAACAAAAAACATACACAAAACCCACCACAAATACCCCAAAATAAACAGCAAATAAAATCCTAAACATCTTCTAGCAATGGAAGCAAGTGCTTTTCTCTTGGTTTCTTGGAATTTTAATGGTAGTCTGTTATTACCAGCATGCCAGTATCCCAAGTCAGAGACAGTTGCTATTTGGAACTTGTAACTGAGTAGAGAATTAGACTTCCATGCAGGTGACAAGCAAGAGGGTTTGTAACCAGAGTCCCATGAGACTCACCAAAAATTCAGCCATGGAAGCGAGCAAATCTGTGAAAGGGGACATGATCAGGTTGCAGCTATATTATCATAACACTAGAAAATTACAAGTCACTATGTTATTTACTATTCTTTCCAAATCTGATAATATGCTAACAGTACCTCGTACTTAACAAGGTCCTCCCAAGAGCATCCACGACTGCTGACATTGCACCATTCAATCTCTGCCTAGTGAAATTATGCTGCAAAGGCCATAACCTACTGAGCCAGGTTGCTTCTGGTCTCCCTGGGCTGTAAGTCTACCAGAAACAGTGTGATCTGGAAAGCTGTCACTGAGCAGCTGCCAACTCTTCCTGTTGTGTTACAAAGGACAATAAATAGTTACACGACCTGAGATTTATCCTCATTATGTCTCTTAGGTGCCATTTTATACTACACACAAAAACACTTGTTGAGAAAAAGGATAGAAAAAGAAGGTGACATAAAACACCTCATCTGTGGATTTTAATTTGACTTTATTCCCTATGCGGAGTTTGCATGTTTGGGGTGTTTTTAACATAAGCAGCCAAGTGTTCAGCAGATTCATCTGTGGGGCTAAGAGGGACCTCACTGGTCAGCACCTCTAAAAAGCTAAGTCAAGAAGCTAGGTCGTGTCCTACCAGTTTAATACCTTAGGCTTATTAGCACAGACAAGTGCCAATAAATATCTTCATTGTTGTCATCTACATCTTTATCTTTTTCTTAAGTCAGCAGTACTTTTAATCTAAACCTTTTTTTTTATTCTCCCGAAGTGGTAAGTAAAAATTAATAACTGGTGCAAATCAGAGGCAAACATAAGACAGAAACAGATGTCTAAAACTTTCAGAATATTATATTTTTATATTGTCTAATTAAATATATAGTACACCCCAGGCACTCTTATTATTATTATTCACCAGCAGCCAGCTCAGCAAATATTCACTGAATTCACACCTTTAAAAAAAACCAAAAGAGAGAGAGAGAGAGAAGGGAGAGACACAGACAGATGGAATACATCAGTAAGTCAGGAAAACAGATATCTAACCTTGAGTCAAACTTTTTCTACAGGAAACAAAAAAGGGATTTCTTACTTTCTGAAACAGTTTACAACATACTAGCAATTATTAGAAACCTTTCTGTGCAATAAGCCTTTATAAATATTTTCTTCACCTCTGAAAGTCCACAAGAAACCTGTGGCAGAGAAATGGCAAGGATGGAAAACGATAAACAATATATGAAGAAGGGCATGGCAGTTTTATGTGCTCTCCTAATGAAAGTGCGCAACAGAATTGAGTAGCAAACACCTGAAGTTGCATATATGCTCCAAGAAATATCACAAAATCCAGATAGCAACATCTGAAGATAATGGAACTTTCTTACTGAAGTCAACAATCCTTTTACCATTGACATCACCAGGAAGACTGGGGCCAATAAATTACCATGGATGCTCCTGAGGGAAGCAGTCCTAGCACTTGGCTGTAGTGGTCTGGATGAGCCCTCTAAAAGAAGACCTTATTCTTCCAAATAATGTGCCCTAAAAATTTCAAAACAACGTTTCATGGGACAGGCGAGAAGTTATTAAAATATCTATCTTCAAAGGACAAAAATAAGATTACTCTTATGTTCTTCAGAATAGAAAAAAACATACATTTTAACAGAAAAATAGTGAAGTCGCGTTCACTGGTTTGTTTTTTGCCAACCTGCTGAAACATCTCTCAATGTTACTCTGAATTTGCCTATACAATGTGACTTTAAATTAGCATATGATCACTCACCAAAGACGTCAAGTGCATTATCAACACACGCCAAGTATGAAATACTGTGGAGGGAAAAAATATTTCAAAGAAGACATGAACTGACCCAGTTTCACAGCCCGGTGTTCCATATTATCAGGATTTTACTAACGATTGCATTTGTTTCATCTTGTCAGAATGACTTGCAGCTTATGAAGTGCATTGATCTACTGGTGAGAATTAATTGTAGCACCCAGTGACTTCTGTCAAAGTAATATACTTCGTTAAAACCTTTCTGTTGTATATCTTTGTTGGTGTCTCCAAAATTAAAATTCAAAGTTAGCAAAAGCAGAACTCCCTAGGAATATCAAAGCATCAACTGAATGCAACAATTCCTTCTCATTTTGTATTCCACTCTAAACCCAAGGTCAGTTAACAAAATATATTCTGTGAATAAAAGCATAATTATTGGTGTAATTTGCAGTGCAAATGAAAGAAAATCATTACTGCCTAATTAACAGTACATATGTCAAGAAATCAGTAAGAAAAATACTTAGAAATAAAATAATAATATTTTTTAATTATAGAAGCTTTTTTTATTCTGCTCTGAACAGAAACCTCAAGCCCTGTTTGTTGCCTAATTTCTTTTATAAATCATTCACTCCAAATTGTGGACATTTTCCATAGCAGACATTTAAATTTCAAGAAGGATTAGTGCACTAAAGAAGAGGAGCTTCGTTAATCATTCTCTATCCCTTGAAGCCAATTTTTAACTATGACTTCTTGATAAAGAAAACATTTTTTTACTTCCAAGTTTTGCATGAGAGCTTTCAATAAAAACTCCTCTAGGATGCCTGAGACATTTCTAGATGTTTTTTTAAGTAGTACTTTTTAACAGAACACAAAAATTGAGACACTCCATGAGCATGAAGCTCTTGATGAAGGCAAAACTACACTCAGCTGTCAACAAACCACACAGTCATTGAGGGGGTCAACTTCCCAAATTAAGGCAATTCCAATCACTGGCTTTTTCAAAACAAAAATAACAATGAACACAGCTGTAAAATTACAACACAAAAAGGATTACAGGATGTGGCCCTGTAGGCTCTCAGGTAGAGAAATATGGTCTGCCAATAATTTTGTAGCAAAGACAGTATGTTCAGGGTAAAACAAATTTTGGACCTCTCCCAGAAGTGAAAATTCAAAGAGTTTTCAAGTAAAGAAATACAGTCAGGCAGCTGATTTGAGAAATATTTAAAAATTAGTATTCTCAGAAACTGTTTTAAGTATCAGAGAAGTTACTTATACATAGTGATATATGACTTTAAAATGAAGATTTCCCAAACACAAAGTTCTAGACTATGCAGATCTAATAGAAGCCACAACCTAGAGAAAGATATCACAATGATTAAATTACAGTAGAATTGTATCAGCAAACAGGTGTTATTGAAGATAGTTTATCGCCATCAGTGTACAAGTCTGTAAAGGCTATCTCATGTCCTAGGGACTCCACCAACACTGAGCACCATGGTGACCTCAAATACTATTTCCATTCCCCCATGTAGGCAAATGTTTGGGTTTGTTTTTTTTTTAAGGTTCCCTAAAATCAACAGTATCAAAAGCTTATAGGCAATTTCTATTGTCTAGAGACAATAGAAAGCACAATATAACAGTTCTGTAAGAAAACAAAGCCTGTTAAAAACCAGCCACCCAATCTCACCATAACAGATGTGACATGCCACAAAGCAAGGGGAGAGCACAGACTGAGGGACAGCACATTGCAAACTGGTCTGAAGAGGCAATATTCCCTGGGTGAAACCACAGGGTGGCTGTGGATCGTTAAAGCCTTGTCTAGAGATATTGAACTCTTCAGAGGACAGACACAGCATTAGGAATAATTAACTGCATTAACATTCACTACACTGCCAAGCATTGTTCATCCCCTAGTAGAATGAACTTTGGGTTTTGCCTTGATTAGCCGCCACAATCAAGGAAAACATGTCTGAAATTTGCAGACAATTTTCATGCTTGAGGAGAGAGCACTGTCTTATTCTGCAGCACAAGTGCTGTATTATCCTTCACTTCTACAGAAGAAGATGTCAGTATGAGACACACTATATGTGACAATTTAAATGCATGCCCTAGGGCTTAAATCAGCACAGTGCCAAAGTCTAGAGATACTCGCAATCACAGACTGACTGACCTCAACTGCAAGCTGCAGAAAATAGACTTCATTTCCCAAATTCTGAGCTGGACAAGGCCTCTTTATAAAAGGTCCTGGGAAGAAGCTAATTTCTCTTTTTAAATTGCGTTGTCTGTCAACAGCTACTTTCAAGCCTGAGAGTAAACAGAATATTTCCTTGCCTAATTCCATTGGTTTTCTTTTAATGAAAATTATGTTTAAAATGTTTTAATTGTCTCCATTCAAACAAGGTATAGTATGTGATAAAGTACATTATGGTTTCTGAGTCCAGCAAGCACAAGAAGAGAATTCAAGCTTCTCCAAGAGACTTTGAGGAGTGGGGATGGATAGAGATGTGTATTTTTCCACAAAAAATTGGAACTACAATTACAGCATTGGAGTGGAGCAGGATGGAGCTCCCTGAGAAGCAGCAGCCCACCCCAGTGACTGATGCTCATCCCTGCTGCAGTGCAGACCCACTTTGCATGCTGGCTGTTTGCTTGGACTGCAGATTGCTTCTCTACCAGCATTGCTATTGCAGTTAGGTATGCAGTCTGGAGCAGCACCACGATGTCTCCCAACACAGAAACAGCACTATACTGACAGAAAAAATGGCCTTAAAGTGTCATCACAGCTTATTCTCCTCACATGAGCTCCTTAAGGGTGGGATCACTACACAAACACACAGTGTTATTAAGGGGTTACAAGCCTCTTCACACACTTACAGCTATGTAGTTACTGCAATATGCTCCAGCTATTCTTGCTGAAGAACCAGGTGGTGTCTTTCCAAAGCAAAGCCTTCTGAATTCAGTCAGCCATCCATCCCACACTCTCAGATGGCTATAATCAAGCACTGCTCATTTTGCTTTGCATTTAAAAGGAGCTCAGATAAACTCTTTACTGTGTTCTCTTCACGTTTGCACTTGCCTGGACCTCAAAGAGCAGATCCATACCTCCCATGTTATTTCTGTCAGAGGTGTCACATCACTTCCAACGTGCCAGTGAAAGTGTTGATATCTGAATTCCATGGCTATTCCCACTGTGGGCTCTCCCTTTGCTGCCATTTAACATGTAGTTCCAGTGCCTGTTAAGGAATATGGTGTCGGGCCAGCAGAAGAAAACTTCTCATCATTAATCTGCTGTTGTCAGCTCTTTATGTAGGAAATAAGCACAACATAGGGAACTACTCTGGAGAAGAACTCTTTGCCTTAGAAACAACAAACAGCTCTGGATATAAAACATATAAACATGCACAAATCTGTGCACATTTTTCAACACAGATGAAATCCATTTAGACCCACCATCAACCATGGACTGGAGGGGGGTCTGTAGATGAGAACTCATGGAGCCTTCTTGGCAGCATTCTGCTTTCACAAACCCTCAAAGCTGGTT